AAATCAATGAACTATTTCCTTCTATTTTCTCAGATGATATATTATATATAGTTTTGTATAAATATATATATACATATATATATCTTTAGAAACATTAAATACCAAAAGGTCCAGTTGGGTTTGATGATTTTTCCAATCCCTGCACATTTAGGTTCACCAGAAGGTGATTAAGGACTGCAACACCGAGCAAAGTATGAGCTTGTTCATACAGACGGCCATGTGTTTGTCCAACATCACCTGTTGCTTGGATGCTTTTTGCTACTACTTTGTAGCTCACGAGGTGAGGAGCACCAAAAACAGCTTCAGGATGAGAACACTGAGCCAAAGAAGAGGCAATTCCAGCACTTCAGAGGTCTGAACATTTAGCAAAAGGCTGAAGATGTGACTTGGATACGACAGAGTGGGGTCATATTCATTGTTTTTTGGCAAGTTAGTAAAACAGACTGAGCAAGCAGCTCTTGCTTTTGAGAAAGTACAACATGCAACTTAGAACAATGGGAAATGAACCAGGTCAGCGAACGATGATAAATTTAACCACTGAGCTGGAGCAGCAAGCCAGGTGACGCATTTTTAACCTCAAAGAGCACTGGTAACCAAAACATAGGCGGCAAAAAGGAAACCTTCCACTACAGATGGAGAATTTGAAAGGTGCTTTTTAAGATGGTTGAGAACCTTTAGCTTGCTGACTCCATGATAAGAAACTGACTTGTGGTATGATTCATTTTAAATCTGGCACAGTTGCAGATCTTTGTTGCTTTGATTCAGAACATCAGGAGTCAAACAGAAAAAAAGAAGAGTTAAGTAAAGTGTTCCTTTAAATAGAAGACCAAAAGATCCCTGTTCTCAAATATTAAACATTTCTATTTTATTCGACATTTTTTTAAGGCTATTGTTTGTTATTTTAGCCCTTTCTGGACAAATGAATATTAGACAAAGGGTGGCTGATAAAGGCATCTGTACACATTCCAATACCAACAAATAAATAACGTGATCTTAGAAAGCATTCATGTATTTCACATTTATTTGAAACAAGTTAGTTTTACTTGTTTTTATTTTTAGAATCTTTGTTTTGGCTTTTTTGTATTTTACAAGTGGTTGAAGTCAAATGACTTATCTGTAGAACAAATAACTGTGAATCTGAGCCTTAAATGATAGAGTGTAGTTTAAGGAGTTACAGATATTCTGATGTTTTTGACTTTTGAAATAAAGTTCTGTTTGTGTTTATATATGTTCAGTTAATTACACAAACTGCTCCGAGTCAGAGAGTCAGAGTGGAAAACATACTCATGTTTTATATTACTGAAGTTCTTGAAGGGTATTTTATGTCACTGTCATTTAATTTTAAATAAGCAAGATTTGTATATCACTGTAACAAAACCAGTATTGTCTTTCAATTCAGCCGTACGGCGTTCTGCTCAGCAACTATTATATTAGCATTATATATATATATATATATATATATATATATATATATATATATATATATATATATATATATTAGCCATCAATACATTATTATTTGTTATAAAATTGTATTATTACTTGTAAATAATTACCATAATTGTAACTTTACACATTTGAATTTTAAGCTATTATTTTATTAAATAGTAAAAAAACACGTGGCATTTTTTTTTACTGTATGCATTACTGGATAGAATATAGCATATCTCATAAAGGATTAGAGGCAAGATCTCATTTATATGTGATGGCAAACTTAAGAGTCTTTAAGATGATGTGAATTAAGTTGCTGTTAATTTTCTATGAGTTGCAGTTTTTCTATGAGTTTACAGTGCATTAAGTACAAGGATTAATAAGGAATAAATTTGTACATCTAAAATTGGACTATTTATTTTCTGTGGCAGGGTGGGCTTTCTCAATAAAATGAGAAAAATAGACGAAATATCTCAGATATTTAAAAGAGCAATAATAATAATAAAAAAATGACTAAACTAAACCACTCTATACTTGAACACACACACACACACACACACGGATAAGAGGCTCGCATCAAAATTCAGAGTTCAAACGCACTTAAAAGTGACACAGTTTAACTTTATAAGGAGTTATATATGTAACATTATTTCACCTTCTCTTTCTCTAAAATTGCAGTTTTTTGTTTGAAAAAAAAAAGCCAGCTGTAAATACTAGGAGAGGATATTTAACTCTTCAAGCAGCAAACCATCAAAGCCACATGGAAAATGCACCCACTGTGTGATCAGGGAACACAAAGGAAAAACCAGGGTCGTTTTGCTGGGCTCTAAAACTACACTTTACTCTAAAAGAGTAACAACAACAAGAAATTGAAACAAATCAATATATTTTTAAACAATATTTGCATATTTCACTGATAAATTTAGAACCAACATGCCAACCTTTAATTTGAAGACATTCACGCAGTGAGGAAAACACAAATCTAACTTGATTTTACATTTTAAGAATGTATTCAGTTTTTCTGTGGTATTAATAGGATGAGACACAAAGGCAGTGACTGTTCTAGACCAAATTTGTAAGAGGGGCAGGGTAGGGCCAGTATTTTTTTCCATGGAGGCAAAGAATGAAACAAAATCAAGGACAAAAGTTCCTGGTTCATTACTTTAAGAGAACCAAAAACAATTTACAGCCCTGGAAACCTTAGATCTAGCAAATAAACGCTGTGATTCTGCCTCAGCATGATTGGCTGGTGAAGATTCTCAGTCATCCAGGTCATAGTCATTCCAAAATAGAAAAAAAAAAAAACCCACTGGACATGTTTACAAAGTCTGAAGATGTTTTGCATCCATCCAGAAATCGATATATTCAAAATGTCTGGAGTAGTGTTGAGTTCCAGGCTTATAGAGTGGCACAAGCAATATGACTGAAGCTAAAGGGGCAACATCTTCATTTTTAAAATAATCAATAAAACAAAATTGAAAATAAAAAAAATGAAATTGGTCCAAGGCACCTATCAGTTTTGGTATCATTTCCAGCACATATAAGGTATTTATTATACATATATTTTTCTTAATTTCTTTTGTAAAAGGTTTATAAAAGGGGCCAGGACTATATCTACCTGGGCACATGGCTGCTGTTTGTCTCTGTCTAAAACCACCCATAAATAGGTCTCTTCTCTATGCCGCTCTTCAAAATGGAAAAAACAAGACAAAGTGTTATAAAAAGCAGCTTTATCTTGATCCTATTGAGTCATTAAATAATGAAAAAAATATTACCAATACAAAAAGACCCATATTGACAATCACAACTGGACTTGCAATCAAGTCAATTACAAGGGGTGTTGTTATTTCTCCCACTCTGTGCTCATAGCTACACAAAAACTGGTGGAACAGCCCTTTTAGTGATGATGGATTCTGGGCTGGACAGACAATCAACCAACCAACCAATCAATCAATCAGTCAAAACACACACACAGAGTAAGACGATCATCAAGAATAAAAAAGCGTCAGGCCAATTAGGCAGAGGGTGTCAAATGTGCAAAGTTATCACAGATGTTATGTGGTGGTTATGGTGGAGTTTACACTCCAGCTGCATGCAGTAGGAGCGGCTGCAGGTGCAGAAGGGCCGCTACAGCAGGAGGACAGAACCACAGCGGCCGTCGATGTGTTTGTGGGGAAATCCAAGCTTCGTATCAAGTGATGAACTGCACTCTACTAGGGTCAGATATAAAAAACAAGTTTTGGGGTAGTTTATTTTCAATTGTGCTTTCAAATGTTTCAGTCAGTTGCATGTGGGCTGTTAACTGATTAGTTTTTATTTATATATACACTGCACTTCATTTTATTCAGTTGGTTTAATTCTTTGTTTATTAGTTAGGTTATGGTTAAATATTCCAGTGTTTATTAATTAATATATGTTCACTATGCTTTACTTTTTACTTAACAGCTAAAGCCCTATAGAGCAAAAATGTAAAGGTAAAAAATGATAAGGCTATTCACATTTTCTATGTTTTATTAAAAAAAAAAAAAAACATATTTTTTTATTGGATGGCTTTTCTGAGGTGTGCAGCAGATTGATCACATAGTCTCTACCTCTATCAATACCTTCACCTCATGAACACGCCTATGTATGCACAACATATTCAGCTCACTTTCTAATCAGCAGTTATTTCAAGTTGCAGTTTAGTTTCAGTTTGCAGTTTCTGTCAGTCTTTCCAAGTTAACGATATAATTATAACAATTCCATGACATAAAGATCAGAATCTAGAAAATGGCTGCACTGAGGCTGTATGCCCTGTCACGGGAGCACGCATTGCATGATTTTTAAATGTGTTCCAAATATTAACACATTTCTTATCAACATATGTCCTATGTTTCTGTCTGACATATTTCTGTCTGACATATTTCAAGAAAATTCGGTTTATTCTGATTCGTTTAAGTCAAATGTTTTAAAATGACAGTGTCTAAAGAATAAAACCCATAGTTTACCAGCTGTAGTTCAGGCACTGGGTCACAACATGGTCTAGGGCTTATGACAAAAAAGAGGGAACGGATATATGAAATCTTTTAACGAATATTAATTTAAGAAAAATAGCAATAAAATTTGTCATGTCAGTGTGACTGAGTAAAAATCTTAAATGTACATGTTGAGTTAAGAACCACGCAAAAGAATCTAGATTATATCAAACAAGTCCAATCTAGTCAAACCAAACCAAACCGAAACCAAGTCGAGCTCAAACCAAAACCTGGTGAAAACACCCAGATCAAAGTGAAGGGGAGAGAAAAGCCCATACCTCCCTCTGGTGCTGCACAGCAAGCCTGCATGTAAATGCTTCACCAGCAACCTTCAGGATTACACCGCCCGGAGAAAGGCACATGGGGTGATGAACCTGAAGTTATATATACAGCATTTATTAAAAAGTCCAATGTAATTTTTTTTTCATAATTTGACTTCTAGCTGAAGAGATTTAAAGATGTGAATCAAAATTGATAAGGCTGGTATATACATGGTAGATTATTTACAAATCATTGCAGATAGGGATAAGGGAAACATATCTGGAAGTGATATGGAAGAAGATGCTTAGTTTAACCATTAAAAAATGTAATGGGCAAAGATAATAGCTTTTATATATTTCTATTAACTATGCTTTTGTCCTGTCTACACTGAAAAAAACAATGCAACCATTTTTGGCATTTACTTAATCATTTTTAGTTACTTATACACAATTTTTTTCATGTTAGTAGGGTAGGACATAAGACAATCGTGATTGAGTAACTAAATATGATTAAGTAAATGCCAAAAACGGTTGTATAATTTTTTTTAGTATATTATACAATATATATGATTATGTTATATTTTGTGCTTTAATAGTTTTTCAATAAGGAGTTGCAGATATGTACACAGAACAAAAAAATATACCTCTTTTTTGTTTTTTAGTTGTTGTTTCAAATCAATATTCTTCAATTTGCAGGAACATCCACTGAGCAACAGTCACTTAGTGAGCACTTGAAAAAAAAAAGCCAGACCAGTTTCCTGTTGTGTATTTCTCCTTTTGGTGAAAGAGCACCCACGAATTTAAGCACCTTAGGAGCATATCCCCTCTTACTTCCAGAATTAGCATGTGTTTCCATTTTTTTTTTCAGTTCACTTCCATTTATATAGCACCAATTCACAATGGGTCATCACAATGCACTTTACTGGGATAGTTAAATGAAATCACACAAGCAGATTGCTAACTAGTTTTCTATCTAAGAAAAACAGCTGACCGCTCCTGGATGAGCATGTACAGAATGGGAGAATAGAGAGAGATTAAAACAAAATGATGAAAAGTGGTTCCTATGTCTTCCAGCAGTCTAAGCCTATAGCAGCATAACTATAGAGATAGTTTTGGATAATCTGAGTCACTCTAACTATAAGCTTTATCAAAATGGAAAGTTTTAAGCCTAGCCTTAAAAGTAGACAGGGTGTCTGCCTCATGGACAGAAAGTGGTTGTTGGTTCCACAGCAGAGGGGATACAAAAGAGCAGCCTCCTGTTCTACTTTTAGAAAGTCTAGGAATCACTAGTGAACCTGCAGATTGGGAGCAAATTGCCTGTCAGGAACATAAAGAACAATCAGATATCTGATATACGATAGAGCTTGGTTATTTAGGTCTTTTTAGGTGAGAAGAAAGATTTTAAATTCTATTCTTGATCTAACAGGAAGCTAGTAAACGGAAGCTAAGATAGATGAAATATCTCTCTTTTAAATTACCATCAGAACTCTGGCTTCAGTAGTTTAGATCAACTGAAGGCTTTTAACTGCAGTCTGTGGACTTCCTGATAGTAAAGAATTACAATTTTGTTTTCATGAGTCTGGACTTAATACTTTTTAGTTCATGGTAAAAAAAAAGTTTATTTTGATTTGTGAAACCTTTTGCAGGAGAAAAATCTCCCCCCAAAAAAGAAAAGTCTCTCATCTCTTTCCTGTGTGTGATGAGGCTGGGCATGGGGCTCTGTGGCAGGGGCTTGGGGCCTCAGGGGTTTCCGGAACCGGTTAAAACTACATTTCCACAGATGAACCCACCATCAAAACCTTCAATCCAAAGCAAAAGCTGCTTCAGTACAGGTCTAGACAAAGGGTGTGTAGTACAAATTGAAGGTGTTTTTTTTTTTTTGTAACACTTTTAAAATTAGGTCCATGCAATGCAATCTACCATACAAATGCATTTGCATACATATCTTCAACAGGAGTGTCAATATTGACCATACACCTTGTCTATTCAAGGAAAATAAAAAAGTATCCTTCACTGAAGTTTAGAACTCCAAAAGACAAAGAAAGTTTGATAGTTTATTCTCAAAGCAGCAAGATCTTACAAGAGAATTTAGACTGTACAGTAAGATAGTGTCAAAAACAGTTAAATATGAGCACATATACGTATTTAACAGACCCAAAAATGTTATTGATGACAAGACACATCAACACTGCAGAAAATGAAAGGTAGAAAGGATTGAGAGGAGGCGATTGTTAAAGACAAACAGCTAAATCTCAGTGAGGAGAAGGAAGATCAAAACAAAGTTGATTTTTGCCTTTGATATCTTCTACAGTAAGTGAACTAAACTATAAAGCACTCTTCAATATAAATATTATATCCCTTACAGCTATGTGTAGCATCACTGACTGCAGACTTTGGTTCCCTTTGTCCCTCTACAGCACTGCTACTAATTACAGTCTAAAGCCGTTAATAACCAAAGGAGTAGGAAAGTGTGATACCAAAGGAAAAAAGAATAAACCACAAATCAATGATATCTCACAAAAACGAGTTTGATAAAAATCTATGCATGTAACAATGTGATAATAAGAAGAAAATTAATTTACATTATGTATAGATATATATATTGCTTAGGAACAACCAGTTATATACACAATTCTGTAATGAAAATAACAAGAAAAATTAACATCTTTACTACATGAGGTATGTTTTCCTTTTAAAGAAATAAAAAAAAATAACCAAGGGAACATATATTAACAAGAAACGACAAGAACTATTCTTGTTTTCTGATGTGAATCTCACAGACTGACTGATTAGACTGAGCTTACTATCTTTGTTCTACAAGACAATCTACAGAGAAATCCAAACATCACACATGTACAATCTGACTTCAAATTTAACAATTAACAATAAAAAAAAAAAAAGAGCAAAAATGGGACAAAAAGTCTGAAACTAATAATAAAGGACAACATTTTGCTCTTAAAGTGCAGCTTAAGGGATAAGAAATTCTAGAGGTATGGTTTGAAATTGGCTTCAGTGTCGCATGGCTGTGATTTCCGCCTCTGATTTTAGAATCGGTCGCAGATGACGGTCTCAACCACAAAAGTGTTCTCAAAGTGACGAATTCTGTGGCACTTCTTTGTCTCACGTCTCTCGATACCTGGAAGAGAGAGAAAAAAAGCAAAAGATGCATTTAGAAAAAATCTTCTCAGCACTGAAACTCTTCATATTACTACTGCTGCTCGCATTCCCACAGTGCCCAGTTTGAATCAATACTACTCTCATCCATATATGTACTGAGGGGGAAGTTTGCTGCATCATTTCTAAGAGATCTCACACTAATCGTGGGACACAACGCCAGAGCTATCTTGCATGCGCATCACTACCTCCTACACAAATGTGTGGACAAGTCCACTGCACTACGGGTGATTCATGTAGCAGGAGGAAGTTCCCAGGCTGTGCCCACATTTAAACACATACATACAGACACACAAATGTCTGTGACAGACGTGGATTGCAAACTGTCTGAAATGCTCCCAAGGAAGACCCTATTTGGTTCTGGTTCTGGTCACTTTCTGATGCTCCCACATGGCAAATCTGAACTCTGTATCTCTGATGCAGATGGCTCACAATGACTGCCCCTAAGCACATTGCATGGCTCACATTCTCACATAGTCTGATGAGCGGGTGACAACTAAGCGGAAGTGACCCAGGCACAAATTGGGTATAATTTATCACAAATTCTAACTCACGTTGGCGCTGGTTGCGGCGTCTAAGGCGGAATGTCTCTTTGCCGAAGCAGAGCCTGTGGATAAAGGGGCCCAGCTGTCTCATGTTCCTCAACCTGCCAGTCACCACCATCTCTTCCTGGACGATGTAGGTCTGGGGAAGGTATGTCCCCCTCTGAAAATAAGAGATAAAGCAGTCAGTACAAGGGAAATACAATGTTCTTACTCATCTTTAGAATAGAATAGAACTTTATTGATCTCACAACAGAGAAATTCACTGTGTTGATCTAGCATGATGCTCACCTTGACATTGACAAGTAGCTCCCACAGGCTGCGTGGAGGCATCACAGCAGTCGTATTTAACTCGGTGATGTAGCACTTGTCCAATGCAATGTCATAATAGGCTGTGAGGCCCTGGAATAAATTAAGAGGAACATATATTTAGTCAGCATTCAAATACAAAAAATCTAGACAAGAGGGCTAGACTTTAGAACTTACCCTCTGGAAGTCATGGACGATATCTGCTGGGTCACTGCCCCCAAAATGAGGGACTGGAATGCTGATTTGCTCATAGTTCTCCTCGAGGTAGATGCTCACGTTTTCCTCCAGTTCTTGGCGTCCTCTCAGGGGAGCGTACACAGAGTCCTCGTAGATGACCCGACAGTGAAACAAGCTGTCCTCTGGGATCTGCTGAGGGTGAGAAAGAGTAGAGTCAGCATGTTTTGATCATCAGTGGCATGGTCTAGTGAGTAATATTTGAGGTACGATTTGTTTTGATTGAGTTGACTAACCTGGGACATAAAATAGTAGCGATAAATGTAAATGGAAGGCAACACTAGTCCAAGTGTGAAAATGACCAGGCCAATGGCGATGCAGCACAAGCCTGTTGGAAAGGGCTTCCTGGGCTTCATAGGAGGAACCAACCGCCCCTGTTGGGGAAGAAGAAAAGCTGATGGGTTAGAGAACAGCTACTTAAACTCACACAAGTCTCAAATGTTTTTTTTTTTTTTTTTATTGCATTGTAAAATACATTCAAGCTAATTGGGAAAGTTTTGCTCTATTGAAAAGTTCTTGCCTAGAGTTAAGACAGCACCCTAGATAAGGACACAGGCCTATACTCTTCCTTATTAAGTCTGAATTGTAGCAGAGGTGATTCTGACTGGAAGCTGTTGCCAAGCTGTTAGTCAGGCAATCGGATCTGGTAGACGTAGGACGGGCTGGAGTGAGGCATGCCAGATGCCCGCCTACGGTCTCTCGGCCAACCTTCTGCCTCTCCCATACTACTGTTGCCATGGAGAGCGGAAGCAAGGAGAACAGATTCTGCCAGCCTCTGACGGAGATTCTGGCACGTGGCCGTCTGGGTCTATTCTTGGAGGCCTACTTCCATGTTCCATATTTGCAGAAATCATATATCGGCTCACCAAGTGGGAGTGAAAAAGAAATTAGGACGATTGTGTAGCGTAGAGGGGTCCCTGGGCGGTGTGGGGGGGACATATTAATAGATCTACACGTATTGGCTCTGACGCCTCAGCTGCTACCTTGGCCAATCATAACCCACCCTGCCTCTGACATCCTTCAACTGACGCAACTAGACAGATGAAAAAGGGGTGTCTTCTGTGATGATGGATACGTCACTGAGTGGATCGAACAGCATGTAGTGTGCTGAGAATAAGGGGAGGGGTAGGGATTAAAAAAAGACTATTCGGTGTAAAAGAATAGACCTCTTAGATGGATTTAAACAAAGAGGCTAACAAAAAAGAGGCTATGGTGCATTATCTATCTATCTATCTATCTATCTATCTATCTATCTATCTATCTATCTATCTATCTATCTATCTATCTATCTATTGCTGAGACAGACAAAGAAAGACTTGACACATCCCCATCTTCAGCCTTTCAGGAAGTTTTTCGTATTCATTAATGCATGAATTATATTTAATCTAACTCTTCTTATGGTAGACAGATACTAGACATCCAGTACATTTTTAAGATTTTAGCTTGAGGGCTTGAAATACAATGCAAAACATGAATTACTATACTATTCATCCTCTTATGCTCCAAGGCGCCCCTGCAGGACTAAAATTGTATATACTCTTAATGACATGATTGCTACAATAATTGCACCTTTTTATTTATCTATTTTGTATGGCTTGATTTTTTTTCCCCTTGAGGTAAAAATGCAACCAAATTAAAATGCATTGCAAATTGTTTACTCAATGGAATAGGGTATGTCAGTCACATCCATTTGAATGCACAGCTATAAAGATAGGGCTGGTCATCTGCAGTGTCCTCCAGGCTAGCCGATTGAGATGATGTAATGTCAACTCAGGCTGGCATTGGCATGCACTGACCTTTTCTATTACGCTGCTGCACAGATCCCATAATTGACTCAACAAAAATAATTACTGCAACATTTAGGTCTGATGCCACAGATATAGAGATTCTTTTCAGGTTATATTTATATATAGGCGATATAAGATTTAAATCAAACGTTTAAAAATAAATCCTCTCACTGATCAGGGCACACATGGCCAGACATCACTATACTTATCTTGTGCAAAGGTGCAATTACTCATGCTGTGATAAAATTGATATAGAAATAAATCTTAAAAGACACAATAGAAAGCTTGAAACAAAGAAAGACAAAGTGCGCAAACTCACGTGAGCCTGGGGTATAGTAATCTTGTCCACATCCTGGTCTTTGTCGGGCTTCTGTGCCGAAACTGACTGGAAGGTGATCTTCACCATGTTTTAGTTTAAGTCAGTGTTTGTATTTTTTGCTTCTTTAATTCTTTGTCTCTTGTCTGGTTGTGGTTCTGCGCCGCGCTTCCATCCACAGCACCGAGAGGGCTTTATAGCGCCGCTGCTGCGTCGCCCCCGGGAATCTGTGACGTCAGAAGAGCGTCTTTTCTGACGTACGGGCGCTGTGTGGGACCGAGGGAAAAGCCTCCTCGTTGATTTCAAAGTAAAAGTTTGTTCTACATTAATGCGCTGATAGATAGTTAAAAACTGCACCTAAACGCTCTAAAATACACATTTTATGAGCTAATTTTCACACAAAAAATAATGCTTTGTATCTTTGGCCGTTTTTATAGAAGGAAGAATAAATTTTAAGTCAATCTCCGGATACTGCACTACAGTCGGTTTTTACTTTGGAGTAAAAATCCCAATATGGTAGTAAATTCCGCATTTTATTTAAGGCTGCATATCCTTCCATCATCTCTGTTCTGAACACCATCATCCGGAAATGTTGTGATGTTTTAAATTGGCCCAGCCAATAGCTATACTGCAATAAAGTTATTAAAGCTTACTACTACTGGTAGTGAGAGCATTGCAGTTAGAAACTATACTGTGTATAATACTTTTTTTTCTAATTTGAATAAATATGATTTAGTATCTACATAAAAATCAGTATTTACTTTAAAAATTAAAACACTTGTAAAAAAAAAAAAAAAAAAAAAAAAGGCTAAATACAATTGTACAGTTGGGTATTTGTACACTATAATTACATCCTTTTTTAATCTAAAAAATAATCTCCAGCAGGGAATCTATAAACTGGGAAAAACATGAACAGAAGACACTTGAAAATCATATGTCTATGGCAACCTGACTACTCATGCACATTAACATAGTTAGCTCTGCACCATATGCCCACTGTCATAAGAGCAAGCATCTCTCATACTGTAGACCTCATGAGGACACTAACTTAATTAAAAAGTTTAAATTTCTTTAAAATTGAACTTCAAGCCACAAAAGAGTGTAAGTCAAAATGTCAGCATTGATCTGATAATTTAATTCTGTCCTAGGAACCAAAAGTAATAGAATTTTTCTATGTAAAATTTTTTTCCTTAGGAATAGTTTCCAATGTTTTCATAAAGTTCTACTTTTAAGTAATTTCTGTATTGACTGAAAAAACACAACTGAAAATGTGAATTACAAAAAAAAGACAACAGTTAATGTCTTTTTGTATACACAGAGTGTATACAAAACAAAATTTGCAGGGATCAAATGTAGACATTGTGGGAGAAAAAACATGGTGCAAAAAGATGCATTGATATGATCAGTTTGATGTAGAGTCTGTGACATGATTTAGAGCTTTCTCAACAGTTCAGCTGTCTGATGGCAGTGGGGAAGAAGCTGTTTCGGAATCTGCTGGACTTGCATCTAATGCTTCGAATCCTTTTCCCAGAGGGCAGTAGGGAGAACAGTCCACGGTGGGAGAGTGAGGGGGCATATATGATGTTACGGGCTCAGGACAACGCAACGCTAGGATGAAATGTTTTTTATGGAGGGAAGAGGTGCTCTGATGATCTTCTCTGCAGTTCTCACCACTCCTCTCACTTTCTTTCAGTCTGAGGCGCTGCAGCCTCCACACCACACAGTGAGCAGCTGGTCAGAACATCCTCTATGGTGCTTCTGTAGAAGGTGGTGAGGATGGGTGGGGTCAGTTGGGCTGTCATCATCCTCTGCAGGAAGTACATTCGCTTTTGTGCCCTTTTGACCAGTGAGGTGGTGTTTACATTCCAGGTGAGGGTGTCTACATTTTAAGAGTGCATTTGGCTCCACTCGGTATAAGTGTTTAATTAGAACTCTACATAGTGTATCTTACTCCAGTTGTTGCTGTAATAACTCTAAAACAGTCAATGCACTTTGACACTAAATATTTAACACTGTGGAATTTACTGTGCGATTTCTATAGATTATGCACTGATCAATGGTCAAAGATTAATCTCTTAATATCTTCCAAACATCATAAATACTATAACATAAGGAAAGTAATAATGGTTATTTGGGACTGTTCAAACTACAGCAGGGATATAATGATTGCAGCACCAGGGATATGACAAAAATATTCCTACCAAGGGATCCCCTTTTCTGAATGAATATGTCCCAATGCAAGATTAGTTTTCCCTAGGCCCAATTAAAGATAAGTATGTTGGTTTTTTTTTTTTTGTTTTTTTTTTTTTTTACAATTTTTTTCCAGGAATGGTAATAAATATGTGTTTTTGTGTCTAGGGTCACATAAATGAACGAAAAAAATAACATGAATAAGATTTATATCAATAAAATTAAAATATATAGTGATAGTGTTAATTAAAAAAAGGGTAAATCAAGATTTTCTCAATTTGCATTATTTACAGCTAACATGATCTAATTGAGATTAGTGTTTTTCTTGTGTTTTAGCAGGAGAGAGGTGTTGTTCATGAGCAGATTGCCTACAATCAAGAAGGAATTGACCATAGTACCTAATTATCTAATGTGAGAACTGGCCAATTTAGATATAAACCAAATAGGAGAAATGCTGAAGACTTTTTTTTTTTTTTTTTTATAAGGTTAAGGGAATGTGCATTAATCTGTCATGAAATGCATTTCTAAGTTTTAAAAGTGCTTTTTCCACTGAAGTGAAATGATGAACTTTAGAGGGTTCATAAGATCAGATCTTTTTACATGTCTGGGCTCCAAGGTCCAGAACCCCTGTTGATAAAGGGGACGAGCGTTGCGCGCCCAATGCATTCATATTTAAATGAAGCCATGCATGCATTCGCTGCAAGGCCCCTCAGAGCAGCATAAACAGCCCATTTTCCAAAGGGAGTCAACTGCCGCTGGGAACGCACGGCCATCTGTCCCCCTGACGAGCCCTTCTAACGGCTCCTTGGATCACACCCCCAGCAGCCTCCATGGCTCCGATCCGCGGCGACACTCCAGAAGGAGAAGGTGATAGCGGATTCAAATCTGACAGGAAGGTAGGATATGTTAAGACTTATTATTTGTGACTTGGAAATGATTAAGAATGACCTATTCTTCTCCGTTATCCGTAGATGAGGAAACCTCTGGTAGAGAAGAAAAGAAGAGCTCGCATCAATGAAAGCTTACAGGAACTCAGGGTTCTCATGGTAGACCTGGATGTAAGTAATGTTTTTATCAAAATCACCTCAGATGTGGGTCCTAATAAGGCAAGCAGTGGATGATCACTTTGTATCTGTGCCATGCATCCACAGCTACAGTCGAAGATGGAGAATGCAGAAGTTTTGGAGGTTACCGTAAAACATGTAGAAAACATTCTGCAGCACCGAGCACAAGGTAAACCTCTAGTGCCATTAAGAGATGTTTGCAAGCAAGCAAATGGAATATAATAGAAAATCCTTTTATTGTCCCACAGTGGGGAAATTGTGGTGTTACAGCAGCAAAAGGTTATATTAGAAGTGGTCACACAATGTGAAACCTTATAAGGGTGGCCAGGCAATAAATACTGTACATGAGGGGTGGCCAAAAGCAGATAGGCACCAAAACCTCATGGTTAATCTACACTAATGAGCAAAACATTCATATTTTCTAAATAAAGACAAATTATACTTTCCTACGGCTTTTTCTAACAAATAGATGCATATATTCAAACATCTGTGCTTTCTAGATAAAAGGTATAGTGGATAAAATTCTTTTAGGTTTGAATTTTGGGCGAACATCTTTTCCATTGTCTATGCTTACCTACTTTTATCAGTAATCATTTAGCATAAAATGCATATTTTCAAGCACTAATATCTAGATAAATTGATTATTTAATAAGTTTTTATTAAAACATTTATTTATCTATGATTTCACTGAAGACTCCTAAGTGACTTGCAGAGACATTTGCTCTTTACCCCATAAAACAAAATCTATTTCTGAAGAGCATGCATTCTGTACTTATCATCTTTAATATTAGTACATTGATGTGCATAATTAACCAGTGTTTTTATTGTAGTCATTTTTAATATATGAAAAATGTATTGAATATTCCACTTGAGAGTGTTACTGCTGCCACCATCTGTATTAGAGGGAAATAAATGGTAGGGGTGGCCAATGATTGGCTAAGGGTGGCCATGGCCACCCCTGGCCCCCCATCTAGCTTCGCCCCTGTAGAAAAGTGAATAAAAATAAAAGATACGGAAATAAGACAACTAGATTATTGTACTGTACATTGTTTTTTTTAATAATATAAATACTCTGAATCTGGAGAATGAATAAATAAATGAAATAAAGTGCTTTTTATAATGTGGTAACTATATCCCCACAGGTTTTCAACATTGAAAAATATATGTCAAAAATATTTAATCATGTTAAATTTAAAATTAAGATTATAGAGAATGTGTGTTTTAAAATGTGAGGAAACTACAGCATTTTAAATGCTGACAATTCGGAGGAAAAATGGTTTGTATGCCTCTATTAAAACCTGAATGAAACTGTAATGGAAAAAATCACACATTAGAAATTGTCATTGTTGTGTTTCTGACTTTCAGAGGTCAAAATGTCAGTAAAGTGATTAAGACAGAGGATTATCTCTGGCATGATTGTTTCTGCAAAATGCATTTTCACAATTAAAACCATCCAAAGGAAATATTACGACACATGTGCTTTGCATTGTTTTCAGCTAAACAAGCCTTAAACAAAAAATCCTCTATTTTATTGTTTAATTAATGTAAAGTACATTTAATTATCTTTGCACTGAATATATTTATATTCATAAAATATATCATTTTTATATATTATTAATAAATATATTTAAATGTTTATAAATAAACTTGCCTTGCCTTAAAACATCTGGAGTCCTTGATGCATTTTGGACATTGTACTGACAAGTTAATCATTTGTTCACCAATCAAATTAATTAATATTTTGAGTGGAGGTAGTATCAAGCATTACCTAATGATTCAGGTATTTTAAGAAAATACTCAATACTCTTCTGTTGGACCAAACATAAGCAACTAGTAAGGTGTTTGGAGAGCGCAGACCTTTGCCAAGTAGCTATTTTCCCAAGACATACCGTATTATGATTTCCACCTTAGGTTAATTCCTGTATTCACATAATACAGGATTGAAAAATTCCTGGATCCAGATGGTGATCGGGATCCTCACCAAAATGTCACCATTTGTTGCCAGTCACAATAAGCACCTCCTCTGAAATTGTCAGCAAAATCAGTCCGTAACTTTTTTAGTTACTTTGCTTTATTGGTAACAGTAACCTAAGTAGGTCAACTAAAGCTGTTTTTGACAGGATGTGATGCAGCTTTTATAAGCAATTCAGTGTGATGCACTTTATAACCTCTGAAGGATTGAAGCTCAAATTAGTGATTTGCTGTCACTAACACTAATAATGGTAATTTAAGCAAACACCAATATTCTATAAATGTTGCAACTGATTGACTAACTAACTGGTAATGTGATCAGTATTTTTGGTCCCAACACTATTATTGTCATTATTATCTAAACCCAAAAGGTTTTGAATGTGCATGAGGCATGACTCAGCCAATTAGAGCTTAAACCATTGCCATAGAGTAAAATGAAATTTGAGTAATGTGCTGCTGCTGTTTGTCTTTCCTCAGAAGCAGATGCTCTGAACAGGGAGGCCAGGGAGCGCTTCGCTGCTGGGTACATCCAGTGCATGCATGACGTGCATACATTTGTGTCCAGTTGCCCTGGAATCGACCCTGCCATAGCAGCAGAGCTGCTGAACCACCTCCTGGAGAGCATGCCCCTCAATAATCAGGAGCATCTTGATGCAGATAAGTCAGCCTGTAATAGCACTTGGCCCCACCCTGAGAGGATGGACACCACCATGGTGTCCCCTGCTGCTTCCAACACCTCCACCGATGACCTTAGCTCTGACCTGGATGAGGTAGACTCAGAGCAAAGCCGAGCTTCCTCCACAGAGGAGGTAGACACCCAGAATGTATCATCTGGTCTACCTTTCTCAAAGTCAGTTTGGAGACCTTGGTAGAGAATGTTGAAGGAGCTTTCATGAACTAGATTGTTGGCTGGTTTTGGAATGGATTGGACAGGCCTTAATCAACACTAAACATACCTCAATATGCAACATTATACTAAGACAATGGTTCTCAATTTTTTTTTACTCAAATACCATAAGAGTACGTTTTCCAAGTTCAACCATTTTTATAGATTTTTAACAGAAATTAAACAAAACTTGGAACTCTGAAATGTTCTGGGCTGTAGCGTAAAAACAAAAACCGTCTCTTGGCAACGCATGGCTGATTAAAGAGTGTGGTTTACTTTAATCATTCAATAATTTAAGTAAAATCACCACCACCCCTTGTTCTTGGTTGTTCTGAGTAATAACAACAATGGCAGCCCATTAATCATAAGCAGTACTTGTACCACAATTTATAACCACGTGTCTCAGACTATTGTTCTCAGGCTGTGGTACAGCTGGTATTGATTCTCTCTGCAATTACCCTTTTACTTATTCAAATCATTGAGTCACAGAGTACAGTATAACATCTGCTGTTGTATGAATTCCTTTAGTATTTAATGCATTACATCCAAGCCTAGATACTGAGCTAACCAAGTGATGATGCAGGATGTGTTTAATCTTGTATTGGTAAACCTATTTAGCCTGTTCATTGACTACCTCAGTTAGCAAATACCACCGGTTTTTCAGACATGTGGTAATAAGAGATCATCACATCACGACAGGGAAGTTGTTGAGCTTAGAGCAACAGCGTATATAACAATGAAATAGCATTCGTTATCTACAAATATAATGTTGCTCAAATAAGCTAAAACATTAGTTATCTTTGACTACTTGTTATCTTTCTTTCAACTCACTGTGATATGACAACTTTCTACAAAAGACATCAGAAATATTATCAGCAGTGCTTTTGCAGATCATCGCTTCATAAACATTCAGATGCTACTGAGTCAATTGTGAACTGGGAACAAGTACTAGAGGCTTTCTAAGAAGCAGGGGGGACATCTCTGTTAGAACCGTGGGCAAATAAGGACAGAAGACAAAGAGAACAATTCATACAAGTCATTTTTACACTCGTATAGTCTTTTGTTTGTGGGCAGTGTCAAGCCAGTAAGTGGTGGAAATAGGCAGTTTTCCAAAACAATTTATACCAAGGAATAAAAGTCCCTGTCCTGTTCTTTAATTGATACATAATTATATTATTTTAGTGCTTTTTTAGTCTAAAAAATGGGAACCACTTTGTCTAAGACATCATGAAGCTCTTTGTTAAATGTTTTAAAACTTAAGTATTTAAATTGTAAAATATGATTAAATCAGTTCCAGAAATTAATGATCTGTATGTTTGAAATTTAAACGTGTTTAAGGCCTACTTTCATTGAATGCTGTCAATACATTTGTAAATATGTATTTGTTAACATTTAGTTGTTTCTCTGCAGATACTGTGTTAGTTAAATTATTTCCAATTTGAAAAGTCCCAAACGTTGTATTTATAGTGCTTTAGTAAGCTACCTCATCTGATTATTTTAAACCTTTCAATAAATTGTTTTTTTTTTTAAACAAAGGGCTATGTTGAAATTATTTTTATGCACCTCTTTTGCACCCAAAAAAGCTTGATTTAACACAGGAGGTTGGCACTAACCACGCAGCCTCGTCTGTTACAAAGATTTTAGCTCTTACTCTGCAGTTGTGGGCCAGTTTGTGTGCACACTCCCTCTCTCGCTCTAAGATTTCTTTGCACGTCGTAGGCATTTGTGAGGTGTGAAATGAGTAATCACTCCTTTTATAGGCCTCATTCAGAGCTTGTGACAAGGGTTTTTATAGCTCTGTTTAAGCTCAGCTTTTTATGTTTTTCCTCTATAACTTGGAATCCAGGTCAGCCATGAGTAGGAATTTTCTATAAGCATCAGTCTGAGGCTATAATGCATAGTAACGTGCAGCACTATTGCAGACCGTCTGTCTGTTCTGGCAATATCAAATTATTTACCTGCTTCAATGTATAAAGGTCCTAAAGTTTCTATTCTAATGAATGCTTCTCAGATGCAGTAAAAGAAACAGACCGTGTGACTCAGATTTCAAATTGAACAGCACTTCTGAGACCTTGCTGAATCCATCTTTGGTCATTTGTTTTCTCTCGTGTTCCTGCAATGTTCCCTCAGAGTGTCAATTCTTTCACGATCCACAGTTTTGACACTAAAAAGTCGTGAATAACTGTAAAGTGGAAGGAAAGTCATGATACATAAAATCTTGTAAGAATTACAAGTCTGGAAACTGAAGCATTCATTGTTTTTCTACCCCTTTTACCTTGCTACCCTTGAAAAACATTCCTGTGTGACAAGTTGCAATTATAAGTTAGCCAATAAATAATGTCTACTCATGTGTAATTTAATCAAGTTTTGTGATTATCAGCTCCATAAAAATGAGGGAAGATTACTCTTAGTTCAGAATAGGCAATTGTGGGAAAGTTTAAGCAGGTTATTATTTCAAAATAAAGAGAGAATCACACAAACAGCAGCTTAGAAGCAGGCAAGAATCCCATGGGAGCTTGATAGATCCACCATGAGAAGTCATGTTTTCTAATGTTAGGGACACAGTCAAACTGAACAAAGGTTTTGATCAAACTAGTCCACAATCTATACTTTCTTGTACACATAAAAGGCTGTGTCGGGTTAACACAGCACACACACAGCACTAAAACACCTTCCCCATGGTAAACTATGGTTGCAACATCATAATGTGGGTGAAACCTGTCAAGAGTCTGCAAAAGACTTCATACTGGGGCATAGGTTCGTTTTCTGTATGACACGTACGGAGCAACAATTATAAGGGTTAGATCAACAGGTTTTCATGTTTTAAAACAGCAAACAGTCTAGTCATGAATAAAGTGTTGAAAACTGTTCGACAATTGCCAATCTGAGCTTTAGCTACTAAATAAAGAAATAAAGACGTTGTAAAAAAGGTTCCAGGTGTGAATAAAATCAACTTGACTTGTTCTCTTGTCAAAAAGCTTAAACAACCAAAATACTGAATTTAGGTATTAAAGTGCAGCAGGCTGAATGAAGAAGGAATGGTAATATTTCAGAAAACAAACAGAAAAATCGCAAAAAAAATCAATCTATGCCATACAAATATATATATATATATATATATATATATATATATATATATAAATCCCCTCAACTGTATATTAAGCTTTACTCAGCTTAGGCTATGTTAAAATCAATGTTGTTGAAATATTTCATTGTATTTTCTCAGGTGATATATAATATATATAGATATGTATAGGCCTACACATATGCAATTCTGTGTATATATGGGTGTGTGTGTGTGTGTGTGTGTGTGTAAATTGTCTCTTTATTGTGGGAATATATCAAAAAGAAAGCGAACAGACAGACCGGATTTACAGATCAGCTCGGATGTAAATAAGCGCAGTAGGTGAGCCATTTGCACCTTGTCCTAAATGTAAAAGCGAACATGCAGGGTAGAGGGTGTTAACGGATCAGAAGGCGATGCCCATCTGACTAGTCACTTTTCATCATATAACCTATCGTCTTGCCTGTCGTTTTTATTTGCTATCTAAGAAAACATAGCGCATTCTACCCTACAAATTATTCCTCCGCCGAAAACACTAAATCTTTTTAGGGTTTCATCAACCGCCAAATCCCAGCTCTATTTCTGTTAAATGTGAGGTGTGAAATAAAGGGAGGACTCTTTCATGTGGCGGATCTTTTAGGACTTGACAGAAAACTATCACGTTTTTCTTCAGTCAGGCAGAGACTAATTTGCATATGGAAGGTTTAAGACCCCAGGACAGGAAATCTTTAACATAATGCATGTTCTCTCCTCATCTGAATGTGAATGGAGCGAAATTTGGGCACCACTATATATGTATGTATTTTAATGCCATCTAGTGGTCATGTGCGAACACTGCAAGATATATTTATTTGAGATACACAGTATGATCATAAAGTCAGGTCTGCAATGGGCTGAAAGGAACATAGGCCATTAAATACTCACCCAAAATTTAGAATTGTAATGCAATTTGTAATTTTATTAGATAAGAAATTCCTACCCTATTAAATAAACCTTAAATGATCCATTGATCAATCATCTGTCACGCTTTATCCCTGCTGGTGCTTATTTCCAGCTGTCTAAGGGCGAGAGGCTGGTTATACCCTGGACAGGTCGCCAGTCTATTGCAGCTTTAAATGATCCATATTCATTAATCTAATATAGATTATTTGATTAGAATTTAAACTATAAGTTTATATATCTAGTTAGGATGATACTGATTTGATTTATTTCAAATAGATAAAGTTTATTTGCTTGATTTGCATAATAATCTGGTTAACTTTATGTTTTATGCAACATATTTGTTTTGTGTGTGCAAAAACAAATTAAGCTCATATCCTGTCAACTGAGTTGAAGAATCCTTTTTCTGTAAATATTTAATTCTCTGTGAAACAATGCCGATCACTCTTAAATAAGATCCTCGTTAAATGGACATCCAGTGTTTTTTTTTCAACACCTAATGTGTCTAAAGGATAGTGAATTATTCTTCTTATTCACAAAACTATGTCAACAATCTGACTATATCGAAAATAACACAATGTGATAGGTTGTAAGGAGAGCAGAGACAGAGGACACTGAGTTTATTGAAGAAAACCTGCTCCCAACCAGGTTAGCTCTGTTACTATAGAAACAGAAACAGAGGTTGAGTAAGCTCTCTTTGTGAAAAGGGAAAAATCGAAGTTTCCCTTATTTCAGGTTTAGAAAACCTAAGTAAACCTGCCACAGTGGCTAAATACATCCAAAGATTGTTCCAGAGCTCCTTGCGTTCGTCAATATTCTCTATTATTTCTTATAGCACAAAGTTTTCCTGTCTGCAATCATCCATCCATCCATCCATCCATCCATCCATCCATCCATCCATCCATCCATCCATCCATCCATCCATCGTTTTTTTCCTGTCTGCAAACTTCCAAAGAAAGATGAATTCATGCATTCTCATAAACATCTCATTTTATTACAATAAAATATTCATTTTCCATAAATCATAAACAAAAAAAAGATACACTAAAAACAAAGAATCAAAAACAAAACAGAAAGGTGCTTTATATGTCTGCTGAATTATCAGACAGTCTAATGACACATTCAGGAAAGTTATAGAGAAATTTCACCGATTTAAATTGAATAACAGCATTAAAAACCCATCAGGCACCTAATATTTCAAAATGCTTCTTTAGATCTACACACTCACCCAAAAGCTTAACCGTTCGTGTTTTTGGACAGTAATGAGCTGTTGTAACTTTTCCCTTTGTCAACCATATTCGCTGTAAACAACCATAGTTTTTTCCTGTTTAGGCAGAGAAATGTCACAACCACATTCTTCTAAAATCGTATTTGCCGTCTTTCTGGTCCCGTTTGTGTTTTAATTTTGTTTTTTCTTAAAAAAATGTAATATTTCTTTAAAAAAATATGTAAAATATTTACATATAAATATATATACTCAGACTGTTACAATAATCAGCATGTGCAATGACAGGCTTCAAAAAGTAAGAATTTAACATCTAAAAACTGATGCTTTTCATAGGATAAAAATAACTAAATTATGCCCACAGCAAGCTTAATCTGGCGACACATGGCTCCAAAGGGAAAAATATAAAGTCTTAAGTATTGCAGCCGGGGATATCCAGGCAAGTGAATGCAGCCTTTGGCCGAGTTGTATTCTGCTGGAATACTCTGATCACCTCAATAAATACTGTAAGATTTCACATGCTTTTATTATTCGGGAAAAAGGCTCCACTTTGTGGCATTTTGAAAGGAAGTGTAGATATTCTCCTCCTTAGCTGACTGCTGTAGCTTTCCTAGGTTGTTTCCAGCTTTCGAAGCTTTAGCTTTATGCAGAGTACTACATACACAATAAATAAAAAAAAACTGTTTAACATTTAGCAATGGGTCTTCCTAAACAATAAAATTCCTAACAGGAGACACAATAAAGATCTGCTTTTTCTAGATCGCAGGTCTTTATTGTATCTCATGTTATTCAAGTAAAGGGAATAAATAGATCCAGTTTCTATGGGAGGTGGGATTATTGGACTGATATATTAACATAATAAAGGAGCAGGTTTGAAATTCCCAGAAATGATTTTCAGCAATAGCACTATGGAACACCAATATCCTTTTCTTTAAGTCCACTAAAGTGCACGTGTGCTCATTTGGTACCTTTTGTCCATTAAAGACTGCAGTACCCAAATAACCTTACCTTAAAAAAAAACCTGCATCTGTTCTAATTCTATGCTGACGTAACTGAAAAATACTGAGTTCATTCACTGGCTCAGAGTTTGGCCTCCGCAGCGAAAATGTCTGTTTGGCATCTGCTGTCAGCTCTGAGTTTCAGCGTTGTGCTGTGTTGTATCTCCTATAATTAGAGCAGGGATTCTTTCAAAGTGCTGCACTGTCATATGCTAAAAATGGCCGCTTATTAAAACAGGAAAACTCACAGAGGCCAGCCTTTATCCCAAAAGCAAC